AAAACACGTTCCAGGCCGTGTGAGAAGTAATAATACCACACGTGTCGACATAAACCCCGTACCACGCTTTCCATTTGAAGTTATCCACATTACTTTAGAGAAATAAATTTATACTTTAATAAGAATTTGATTGACTCACTAACTAAAATATTCGTTAATTATATTATTTTAAAATAAATAATAACTTTGAATATATTTTGGTGACATTAGGTAGACAATTGACATTAATGTTCTATCTTCCACGCGGTCTTCAAAAACCGACCTTCTTTTTCTCTATATATTCACATACACACCCATTTGTAAAGATATTCTAAGATTCAAATATTTCTGATCCATACAAAAAAACATCTACACACGCATAAAAATCTTGCTAAAAACCAAAGTCCGTTTCACTAATCTTTCGAAGATGAGTCAGTACAACAATCACAACCAATCTACAGGTAAACAAACGATCCTCTCTTTTGGTTTCTTTTTTTAGTAGTTTTTTTTGGTTTTCTTATGAATAGATATAATGTTTTATTGATGATATGATATGTTATGTCTAACGTAGGAGCTAACCCTTCGCCACCGATGTCAACCGGTCCAACGCCGCCACCACCGATTGGTTACCCAACGAACGATCAGAGCCATGGTTCGGTGGCTCCGGCTAGAGTCGAGACCAAGTCTAAGGGTGACGGATTCTTTAAAGGCTGGTAAGCGATCATCATGAAATTATGCAACCTTATGGCCACCTTATTCGTTTTCTTTCTTCTAACTTGATTTTCATTTTGGATTTTTGTTTGTAGTCTTGCAGCCATGTGTTGCTGTTGTGCCCTGGACATCTGCTTCTGAGTTCTGAGGAGTTACAATAACATCGCAATAGTTTTATTTACGAGTTGTTGTGTGAAGTGATGTGAATTATTTTCTCCAGCCTTTATTGTAAAAATATAATATTACTAGATTAGGCTCCGCAGTGGATTTATTATATAATTTTTGAAATAAATCATAGAAAAATATTAAATAAATTTGACACTTTAAAAATAAGTAGATTAATATTAAAACCGATAAAAGACCTCTAAATAATATTAGATTGGTAATCTTTTTACATTTTTATTATAATTGACATATTTTCTGAATTCATGATACGAAAAATGAATTAATTTGTTATCTTTTTACTTTTATCTAAAATTGAAAGACTTACACATGTGTAAGTTGATTGATTGATTAATTCGTGAAAATTTTATTATTCCATTGAAGAGATTTGGTTGATGAAATCTTTTTTAATATTTTTTTACCTAACAAAAAAAAATTAAAATTAGAATATCAGTTCATTATAATTTTTCCTTTTAATATTAGTTAGTTGCTCGATAATTATTTTATTAGTTTTCTATTTATATTTTTTTTCAGTTTTGTTTTTGACTCAGGCCATTATAAAATTTCCTTTCCATTATTAGTTAGTTTTTTCTAATTATTTTGTTAGTTTATTTATTTTATACATTTTTCCAATTTTCTTGTGTTAACACTTGTTTTCAAAATATTAGACACAAGTAGCAACAATAATTTTGATTTGGATCCAACTGATCTAGAGTTAAATATTCTTCATTGATATCATGAACTTTCAAATACATTATATTTATTTCTTAATGAGAGAGAAGTTTAATCAAAAATAGAATCACACAATTAAATCATGAAGCTATAAGCTTACTATATATTATTATTTTTTCCTTTTGTATTTGAAATATGTTTTACTTTTCCTTTTCGTAATGGATGTAACAATTTTTTTTTTTTTTTTCGTTTTTTTTTTCTTTTCTTAATGAGAGTTATTTTTCCTCCTTTTCTTAATAAGTATATATCAATATAATATGTTACAACCTTTTCATCAAGTAATAGAAGTTTTTTTATGAGCAGACTGCAGATTAAAATTACAAA